GAGTAGCGAAATGAAATGAGTAACTGAATATGGAGTATCTGAGACAACGAAGGTACCACAACACCCAGACCCGAGACAATATAGAAAAGTTCACTTTTACATTGACCCGACCGGGAATCGAACCAGGGACCACAGAGATTGCGACACTTTGAAACCGGCGTGCGAACCACTCGGCTACGGAGGTCGTTTAAGGTCGTGTATAAGTGTATTTATTATCATCGATCTGTGGGACATTTGTAATATAAGAGGTTCCCTTACTGCAATGAGAACATTGTTTCGCCAAACCATTGTGCAACACATGTTTATTTTATTATTAACTTTCATCAATTTTGCATTCAAAATGTTATACTGCCCTGCGATTCTGTAAAAATGCAGACCTAAATTAGAATTCACTCATGTATCTAAATTCACGTCATTTAGTATAGAAATTCTATAGATTCCATTTTTTATATAAAAATAGAAAACAAAATTGATAGAATATACGTGTCTCAGATATTCTATTTCTATGTAATTTCGAAACACACTCAATTACGCCACGAAACGTTATTACCAATAGGGATGATGACTTATTTTTGTTTGTTTGTCCGTCAAGTAGAGTGTTAAAAAATATTAAACACGTATTTTTTTATTTTTTCGTAATCATAAAATTACGGCGTTATATGGAGTTGAAATTTCGCATGACGTCACGTTAGGGTACGTTTTCTACTCAACTGTGACGTAGCGAGCCCAACTTTATTGCCTATTATCTAAGCTATTTCTTGTTAAATTGAAGTAAAAAAAAAATACGTATTTAATATTTTTCTATTATCTGACTGACTGACTAAATAGAATTGCATTTTTTTTTTCCAGTCATCATCCCTATTCAAGGTTGAGCGGATGCCGCTTTTTCAAATGAATTCGAACATCTGAGTGAATTTGAATTCTGGTTTGAATTGTAACAGAATCGCAGGGCAGATCCGCAACTTTCCCACCCGGTAGTCACCCGAATAGCAAAAGTTTGTGTGTTCTAGTCCTATCTCAGGGTGCCTTAAGCTGGTGGATTTTTAAGAATTTTTCATGTATGGTTACTTTTATTTATAGTTCTATTGAGGTTGGCCTGTAATTTTTTTTTATCGAGAAAATAAAAAGTTCAAATATTTTTCTTCTGTCATATTATATTGTTTTTTCATTACAGATTACAGTTTAAACGGACTTGATTCTGTTGTTCACAATCGACTTAGAACCTTTTTTGGTTTATGGTTCTTCTTCGTTTAGCCTTAGGCATTTACTAATTCCAGCATCAACAAAACGTTTTGCTGCGGACATTATTAATTGTGTACTTTTACGAACAATATCCTGGATAAACCATTATCCTCTGATGAGTCGTTAGTTGGTTTTTGTGCGGCAATTTGTGACGTATATGAATGAGTAATAATCAATACTATCCTGTTCACAACTCTTGACTAATCGTGGAGGTGGTCTACCTATCAATTTTGTGTACAAAAATGTAATGTTTTATTGATATGATATTTCTTTCTTTTCATACTTGCGATCATTCCAAAAACGGAAAATACCTTATAAAAATTAGTCATCAAGAAATTATTAAAAGTTACAGAAAAACAATTGTAATGTTTCTTTCGGAACAAAGATATTTCACGCCTCGTGATGTAGTAAAAAACCGCGAGAATATGCATTAAATATGAGGTAGCTATGGTCACAGTAGCAACAAAACTTTTCGTTAGGTTTAAAAAACTAAACTGTCTGCAATCAAATCAAAATGTATGCAATCGACTACAAAAATAACTTATAACACAACTATGTGATATTGTAAACATTATATGAGAAAATTAACATATATTCCTCATGTGTTTGTTTTGTTCACTGAACTAAAACTATGTATGTATGTATATGAATAAAAATGAATCGTGAAAATATATGGACGCGCATCACTCCAGAACGGCTGTATCAAATTAGATAATTCATTATTTGTTGCGATCATCTTTATCAGAATAAGGTAAATATGCACACAACAGTTTCTCAGTTTTTATTAGCTATAACTAACTATACCATCCGTACGAAGCCCGGGCGGGTAGCTAGTACTAAAATTATTTATATTAACAGTATGATATGAATAAAATAAAGACCAAAGTTTTTTTAATGTTTTTTTTTTAAGACACTGGATTGAAATGTAGCCACTATCTGAACAAATGACAAGTAAGATGGTAAATGTTTGTACCCAGGTGCATAATTACTCTGGCTTTGAAGAGTTTCGGGTTGTACAGATTGGGGAATACATTATTATGCCTCATCGATTTCATTCTTTAAATAGTTCTGAAAAGAAAAGAACTAGCAAAACGCTTAGTACGAGCTGATAGGAGGATGTAACTTTTCTCCTTGGGAGAATTTGCCAGTCAGCCAGTGTAAGCCAGTCTCCGTCTAGTAAAAATAAAGTAAATAAAAAGGAGAGAAAAGAAATCAAGGCTGGTGGAACTAAACTACTAGCTACCTCAAATTCATTCACCTCATTTTTTTCCAAATGAAAATGAGCTTTAAAATACTTTACCATTGTCGTTCGTATAAAAATACATAAAGAGTTAATGTACCGATGAGAGCGGAAACATGACAAATCTTAATTCTATTGATGCTGGTATTGTCATACTTAGTTGTCGAGTAAGTATTAAATAAAGGCAATATTTGTAAAATGAACAATATAAATTTGAACTTCGTTATAAAAAAAATATGTTTTATTAATCCTATTAATATTATATTGTGAAAGTTTCTTTGTTTGGATGTTCATCCGTCAATCACATCGAAACTACTAAACGGATTTTGATGATATATGGTATACACATAAGGTATTAGCTGACTTAAATAATATAATACTTTTTATCCCACTAAACATTTTCTTAGAGACTTGGGCGAAGCCGCTGGCGAAACCTAGTATTCAATAAATATCCCATCTCCGGGTGCCAAGGACCGAGTGGATTTTTTAAGCATTTTCCATTAAGAATATTTTTCAGTATAGCATTGTGAATATGAAATTGATCAAATATAACAATAAATATTGTTTGTCTGTCGAGTATTTTAAAACATTGTGAACCCAACGTAAACCAAAGCACCATCGCGTAATTACTTCTACTATGGGATAAATTAGATTTATCACAACCTGTTCGTTTTTTCAAACCTTTGATCATTTGGCCAATTTTAAATTCATATTTGTATTGATATCCTTTTTTTTAAGATTAATAAACCGCTTCAATAAATATGCGAGCTTTCATTATGAAACAGAAGACGTCTTTAAAGTCGAATCTCACAAGATCTATAAACTAGTTCTATTTTGCGATAAAAGTTCTAATATAGCCATATCTATTGGTAACATCAAGTAAATAAATACCTATTGTCGTGACTCACAACTAATAAAACTTAAAGCCAGGTTCATCCAAGCAGACTGCATAAATCTACCAAAAGTTAGTGTTAACGTGGTTATTATAACCCTTCTTGTCCAAAGAGAACAGTTTCATATTTAGAAATGTAAGGGACCAAACTACTACGGAGTGTATTATCATATACATATAATACACCAAAAGCTCTTGTTAAAAGTTATTTATTTTCATACTGTTGATAAACTGAAAATGAATGAAAACAGGTTTTTCTTAGAGCATTTGTAGTGTTAATACTTTATTTTTATTTTATTTTATTATATTATGATTACTATTAATGGGTAATCCATTTAGAATAACTAAAGTTTCTATAATGTATGAAATTAAAAAGATTATCTACTAACCATTCGGGTTTATAATGTTCTATAATTTTTCTATGGTTGGTTCTATAATGATCTTTCAAAATCAGTTCACTTTATTTAATGGGCTTACAAAAGTTGACAATTTGTTGGCCAGTGAGTATAATGAAGACAATGACTAGATACTTGTTTCAATATAGATTTTACACTATTTGTCATATTTACTTATCGATGAAATGTTGACATTTATCGTTTTATTATACAGTTAGTGTGTAACTAAAACGTTATACTTTGCATTCATAAACAATACTTCATAATAATAATGATTTGATTTGATAGATGGCGTTGTGTGTATTTTAAATTTCGCTAATGTTTTTTTTTAAATGTATGTACAAGTTAGTTTAATGACGTTTGATAAACGAAACTATTTGGATCTGTTTGTGTTTTTATTATTTTTTTAATCAGTAAGTAGTTTTGTACTACCTAGCTAAAATTAATTTACCTTTCATTAAATGGAAAACTCAGAAAAAACTATAATGTCAAATATGTCAAATATGTTAATATGTTAGATATGGATCGTTGACAATTGTCTGTAAATATTCATAATTTCATCCCGTTTTTTTTTTAAAACCATTATGATAAATGATTAAAATAATAGATATAAAAAATATATTACATTAACTACACTCGCAATTATAATTTACACTTTAGCCATCTATACTAATTCTAAGTTTAAAAACTTCTTATAAAATGATAATCATAATATTTTTAGGTTATAACAGCGTTGAACATTATTTTTAATACTAAATGTTTACAATTGATTTGAATTACTTATAAATTGACAGCCCAAGACTATTATTATGTATATAAAACATTTTGGTTACAGAATCTACAAAAATATATTAATACCTTCAAGTAAGCCAATTTAACAATGACGAAAACCCAAGATAGAACAAATTGGAGCTGCAAAATGAGTAGATCCGACAAAACCGATCAAAATTTAATGTACAAGCTACCATAATTTTAACTATTCGCTAATTTTTTTATGTTAAAAATAAAATACTACAATAATAACGTACGAAAATTAGCATCAAGGAGGATTACTTAATTCATTTACTGCGAGATAAAGTGTTTTTGAAGTGAAGCCAAATCTCATTATTACGTTTCGTTTGATTTCAAAAACGGTAAACATTTTGCTGTGAGTTATGTTTTGGTTGAATCACACGATCATTCCAGACGTATAAACCGCTATAATGATGACAATATATGCGATTTGTACGTCTGGAATCGAATACATGAGTACTGTCCTTAGTTTAATCAGTCAGTAAACTGATCTTTTCCTGTTACTCATTCGGAGGTAAACACGATTTAAGCAATCAACGCTAGAGAGACCGGACCAGTCTAACCGCACACACGGGCGCGGTCACATTATTACAATAAACGCAGTTTAAACGACAAAATGAAGACCGCTCTAGTATTTCTCGTGGTGCTACTATCTGTAATATGTGTCAGCCACTGTAAAGATTTGATTGTAGGCACGAGTTTCAACAACAGACTACTCTGGCAACAGAAAGTAGAATACAACGCGATCCCTTTGAAGAAACGCGTCAAAGAAGTATTTTTCTCCGATCCAGGACAACAGATTATTAAGGTAAATGATTTATATCAACTCTTTTGATGTCAGTAATAACAGATCATATGGTTTTTTCAATTACTAATAGTTAATCAACAATAACAGTTATTAAAAGTAGATTTAAAGATAAATCGAGACTGAGATAGTAACATCATAGTTTCTATTTTAACTGTAATTAAAACAATGGAAATAAATGTTGATTAAATAGTGCCCTGTTATGATGATCAATATCAATGAAAATATCATTTATTTTGTTCTTCAATATAATATATTTCTATAATATGCATTGTGCTTAGAATGTTACCTATTTTAATGAGGCGTAGAATTGGGTACATTTTATGGACACTATCTTACATTACTAGCATTATTTTATTACGTTCAATAAGTTATAAACGATAAATTATAAAGAAAATTACCTATAAACACTTATACCGAATTACTCATAAAATACATATTTTTCGTAAAGTTATCGCCAAAGGTCAAGTGATATAGTTCTCGCGAAATAAACAAATATAACAGACTGGAAGTAACTGTGATTCAGTGTTACAATTTCGTTTTCGTAAAAAAAAAACGTTCATATTAGTTATCGAAGCAATGTTTATTTGTACTTTTTTCAATATTTGACCATGATAAATTCTCAATATGTTAAATAGGTATCTCTTTTTTATACATGATTTTTTAAATACAATACTGACAAATAAGCATTAGTTAAAGGAACTACCACAGAATATCATACTTATTGATCGTTCAATCAGAGTCATGTGTTTCTTTATGGATGTTGTTTATTCTAACAAACTTAACGGATTTATTAATATGTTTTGTGAAGAATACAATTTAACACTTATTGGCTTCACATTTGGGTTTAATTTCGTTGTAACATAATATCAATTAGTCCTAATCTGTTATCGATTTATATAACATTTTCTCTATACGACTCGTTAGTACATATATACTTACATCAAATCACTTTCATCGCAGCCAACGTTTTGGAGTTAAAATTATGTTCTTACGAACTTAAAGGCACATAGAAATAACGTTTTAATAATAATAAACTTCAAATATTTAAATGTTTGTGTAAATCTCTTTGTTCTCTTAAGTAGAACTAACTAAACATGTCTGTAATGACTCATATCCATAAAAAAATAAGGCTTATCTAAGGTTTGGGGAAGGAAAATAATGAAATATATAAATGCCGTGGTAACTATTACTTGTCGAATGTAAGCCTTGACAGGTTAACCAAATATTTTAATATCCAAAGCTAGAAAAAATACGTGAAAGTTATTTTATTAATCCTATTAATATTATAGAGGCGAAAGTTTGTAGGTTTAGATGTTACTTCTTTACTTTTTATCCTACTAAAAGGTTTATAAATCTTAGTCTTATTAATAGGGCCCCGTTTTTTAACCTTTGGAACTATAAAAATAATTTCATTAATTATAAAAAGTCCTCGCTAAATCATACTATTACATCGACAAAGTAACTTATGTCGAGGGTGCTACTGCATCCTACTATACATAATTTTGAATAGCATTTTTATATTGTATCCCTTATAACTTCGAAACTACTGCAACATCGTAACTGGATAATGAGGTTTCATTAGAAGCGTCTTAGTTGTCCGCATGGTATAGGCCATGAGATGTTATACTAAATTAGCAACAACGCCCTCTAGAGGGCATAAAGTAAGAAAATAAAAAATATATTATTTAAACATCACGCGTAGGCTTAATAAGCACATTTCATATATATTTGCTTGCGATTTTGTTTAAATACACCTGAAAATTAATTTAATAAAAAATAAATTCAAAAACTAAAACCCGACTGCAGCTAAATCACCTCCTTTGTCCTTTGGTCATCGCTATTATAATATAGCTATCGCTATAATATATATTTATTGTTTCAAACTTAATAGAGCATGATTTTTAGTAATGTTACTAAAAAATATTTAACATACTTTCAATATAGGTAGGTGAAAAACCTAAATATCAATCTATCGCGTGAATACCCGTTTCAAACAATCTAATACTTTGCAGGCTTTCAACTTCAACTTAATTATGTCGTGCTAGACTAACGGTTAAGAGCCCTTAACATAAAATTATCTTTTAGGCTTAAAAGACCAAAAAAACCTCCCACACTCTCTTAAAATAGGTACTATCTGTTTAAATTAATAAATCCCATGATTAAACTTTCACTTTGACAACAATCTAATGAGGTATGTAGGTACCAAGAGTTGTGATATTATTAAAACTTTACCTGTTTTACCAGAGAAAAAGTAACTCGGTCTGAAACCATTTACATTAAATTTGTATAAAATGTTAGAGACCATAAATAATATATGGAATATATTTCATATAGGAATCCTACGAAGGAATGAAGACGGTTAGAAGTTTGTATGTGGAATCATTAATTTACTTACTTTCATAAACATTACTTTAAAACAAATAATTAGTTTTTATATCAATTAAATTTGATGAAAATTTGAGGGAAAAATACTTTAAACAATCGAACAGTTATTCTTATACTTATAAACTTAGATTAACAAAATATAATCAAAGCTTATAAATTAAATACATCAATCCTAAAGTCTCCAAGCAAGATGTCAAGTTTCATTACTTTAATTTAATTATTTTATTTAAGTTGGTTTACCAGTTTATTTCTGAGAATCTTCTTAAAGTAATATTTGTATGGTATAATAGAATAAAATTACTCTTACTCAGCAATTTAAAATTGACGTATAATAAAGTAAATTGGTTTTATAACAAAATACAGTAAAGGATATATGAAAGTATTTTTCCTCGGCAACACTTTTTCGAATTTTAATTACATTCAACCGTGCATAATTCAAAGGAGGAGGCCTATGTTCAGCAGGGACGTCTTCCGGCTGATGATGATGATGATGATGTGCATAATTTTTCCAACAATATAGTAGCATTTTAAATAGTCTCTTTATAAAAAAAAAGAGAAGGCAGAAACAGCCCGCAATATCAGTGTTGCGTTTTGAAAAGAGGTCTGCTAATGAACGCACTGTGCGATTTTGATTTTGATTTTAAACGCTTCTGTGATGGAAACTTCGACTTGAAGAACAAGCCACGAGGAAAACCATCCACACAGGTGAATAACGATGAATTAAAAGATATGGTGGAAGCCGATCCTAGTCAAACTACCCAGGAATTAGCAGCATGGTTTAACGTTACGTTTACCCACAATATTGACTCATTTGCGTCAAATCAATAAAATAAAAAAAATACGAAAAGGGGTGCTTCATGATTTGACTGATTTGCAGAAAGAAACGCGTGTTGAAACTTGTGTTGCTTTATTGAATCGGTACAGAAATGAAGGGAAATTGGATCGAATTGTGACATGTGATGAAAAGAGGATTTTTTGATAACCGTAAAAGAAAAATGCAATGGCTGACCCCAGGTCAAACGCCACAACAGTGTCTTAAAGTAAAACTTAACAATAAAAAGGTAATGGTAACTGTTTGGTGGTCTCAGCATGGTATTATTCTCTGATAGTTTTCTCCGATATGGTCAAGCAATAACGGCAGATGTCTATTGTATCGAACTTCGAACAATGTTGGCAAAATTAGCAGTAAAAGAGCCCTGACTCATGAATCGATCTTCACCATTATTGCTCCATGACAACGCTTATACAGCACGAGAAACCGTTTTGACCCTTCAGGAACTGCAGTTAGAAACCATTCGTCATCCTTCGTATTCGCCAGACCTTGCTCCAAAGGACTACCATTTTTTTCGTGATTTGGATAATTATCTACGTGACAAGAAGTTTTCTTCCCACGAGACAGTACAAAATGCTTTCACATAGTTTGTACATCCTTAGAGTTCTATCGCAAAGGCATAAATAACCTACCTATTAGATGGCAACAATGGATAATAATGGTAACTATTTTGATTAAATAAATTTGTTAAAAATTAAAAATAACAACAGAAATCGGCCAATTATTTCCAGGTACATTAAAATGATTATATTTTTAAATTTCCTGGTCACAATTATTTCATTCACGACTCGTATCCCATATAAATTCTGCAGATGCATGCTCTATATACATTCAGGGACAATATCTCGGTTAGCACCATATACGACGTGAATGAGTACGAGTATATTATACCTATATGGTATGGGTGTAAACAGGTAAATGTCAAGGGAAAAAACATAGTTTCGAGGGAAAAAACAAAATTGTGAATAATTATTCATTTTAGGTGACGATAACCACCGCTAGCGTTGTTAAATTGAAAGGTTATCATGTTTTTCTTTTCAAATAAAAATGTTTTTATAAGGTTTTTGTTTATAACTAGATAGTCTATTCACGAAATATATATTATTTTACTTTCAATTTATTTGTTTTCACGTTTTTTAGAAACCTTTTTTTAAATTAACTATATAGTTAATTTCAAAAAAGTTAACTATATAGTTTTTATTTAACTTTAAAAATAATTATATTATCTTGTAAGTTCTTAATGTCATCTTTATGTTAAAATCATGTCACTATTATTGTTCTAAAATTAAAAACTTTATTACTGTTGTAATATTATTTATCCATAATAATAAATAATTAATTAGTACTATATAAACGTAGGCAAGTAGTACAAAAATACAAATAGCAAAACATTTAGGTTAGGTTCCCACAATATCAAAGTCCCATGGGCAATTTTGAACGTAACTGCTTAAGGCGAGAATGTACGAAATTTTAACTTTTTAGACCAGTCTTATTCTAAAGCTGTGCTTATATTTGCTAAATAAAAAATAATTTTATGAAAATTTAACTTATCGATTGTTTGCTAAACATAAATATAAATTTCAATAAATGGTTTGATAGACAAAAAAATTATTTTGAATTTATACTCAAATTCAATGACAATTGCATGAAGGTCAATTATTAACATTTTAAACTCGTTGGTCAATTATATTGTATCATTGTTTAAGTCTCTCATAAACTGAAACCTAACTAGTTACTAATCAAAGACCTATATTTGTTTTTTAAAGTTACTATAACGTTAATCGGGTTCATGGATCATTCACAATGGTTCAAGTATATTTGAATTTCGAATATTACGATCGACGGCCCGTCTCGAAATTTATGGCAGCTCTAATCCATGATCACTACGAAAGCAATTCGGTTTTACATAATTTTTATTTGGAGAATATTATATAACAACGTTATACTAAATGTCGGCATATGTAACAATAGTAACCTGGTTAAATTAGGTTTATTACCAACAGCCTATTGCCTACTACTGGGACCTGAAAGGCCTGTGCCTTTCTCATGGATGTATCATGGATGTTAGAATCGAATACGTATTCGATTCTAACATCCATGATACATCCATGAGAAAGGCACTCTTCCCTGGAATGGGCCATGGTCATGACAAATAAGCTTAAAGTAAACTCGCCATATAAGTTCATTCGCAATGTATAAAGTATGTAGTTTGTATGGAAACCTTTTTAAAATAAATTTGATAATATGCTTTGTGTTCTACTGTACACTCGCAACGTTTTAATGTGGACAACGGAAAAAACAACTACTCAAATAACAAAGTTTATTCATAAAACTATCCTATATTATTTAATAACAATGAATCATATTTTAAAGCTTAGGTATTCATCAAGGTTTTAATAGACCAAATGGGATTTTTTAGATAAATTATCCCCTTGGGAGCAATTTTCTAGATTCACTAGATTTTCAACTTGGCAGATTCTCGATATTATTTAATCTTTATTCCATAGAATATCAAACAGCGGACTTAATGCCAATGGCATTTCTACCAGTCTACCAGACAGAATGTAAATAAAGAAAGTGAAATGCAAATCAAAGAAAAATCACTTATACCTAAAATTATGAGCATATAGATTCATGCATAAATACATATCATAATATATTATAAATTATATACATTATTGTACATAGTTTTTAAATAAATCAATAAGCTTTGCATAATTATTGCAATTTAATTTCAGACCCAGTGGACTGAATATTTTTCTATTTATTTTGATAGATAATAAGTAGGAGTTGTACAGCAAATTGTTATTACTATTTTCTTTTAATTTATTTTCCTTCATAAAATCTTCAGACTCACATATCTTATCTTCAGACTCACATATACCTATTATAAAAACTCGATCTTCATGATTTGGTACACTTGCTTTCAAGTTTCTCTCTGACATTTAACGATTAATTCTTAACTAATAAAAATTATGCATACACAGCAAATGTGAGATTTAATAATGATATATCAAATTAAAATTTAGGCAATAAGATTTAAAATCATGTCTGTAGGAGAAACTTGACAGCTTTATATGATGTTACTGTATACAACAAGTAAAGGATAAGCGCCGCGGCCCTCGATCGTTGTTGTTAAGCAACTTTCGCAAGGGTCGGTCACGGGATGGGTGAGAAAAAAAATATTATCTCGAGCTACTTCGTGCTTCGGAAAACACGTTAAGCTGTTGAATGCCCAGCTGCATTTGCAGTTAATACACTCCAATCCGCATTGGGCCAGCGTGGAGGGTCATGGCCCATCCTCCTTAACCATCCATAAGGAAGGCCTGAGCCCCTGCAGTGGGCACGTAAAAGGGCTGATGATGATGATGATGAAGATGATGAAGATGATACAACAAATAGTAAAAATAATAACAATAGTAAAAATAACATCACAATTAAGGTGGATTAAGTAAATATAGAAGAAGACTCCTAACTTTGAAGTGTCATTTCAACATTAACAATTCCAAGAAAATTTGGGAAACGTGATTTACTCTTAAAACAACAACGTCGTGTTTTAGGAAAACTTTATTTACTTACCTAAGTTAAATTTTACCTATACAATATTTAAGTTGGGTGTTAGCTCGGTCTAATAATAACATTGTGCCTTATACTATAATTAAAATTAAAAGAAATTTAATATTTTTGTCTTTGGCTTTAAACACTTTTTGTGTAAGTGTTAGAAAATAAAAGTGATGAAGTTAATTCCTCGTGAAATTATATTCTGTTATATAAATGCTTCAAACTCAATGTAACAGCACAATGTTACAGCATAGCTTTAATACTTCGAAGTAGGTTTTATGTTATTGAACATTTAGGCTATCACGGGGGAGCGACCGCCTAACGATCTCGCTATAAAACCATAGTTATAAGAACGTTCTATTGATTCTATCAATAAATATGCTAATATTCTTATTAAATGTTCTTCTTTTATTATTTACTGAATTATTAAAGATACATTAAATTTACAAAATGTCGTTCATTTCAAGCTGCAAAGGCGGAAATCGTTCATTACTCGAAAAAATTGTTCACACCGCATTGTGGTCACAATTAAATTTCCACATGACGAAATTTGTGTTATGGCTCTTATGAAATCGCTTACGACGCGTTGTGACAATCACAGAAAGATCACATAGCTGAATCGTATCGTAGCTGACATGCTATTCGATCTTAACGCATTGTGGCAATGTAGGAAAGTCATGACGCGTAAGCATTAATTGGTTTAACCATTATCACGACGGTCAGGATTTTAAATAGGGATGATGACTGGGTAAAAAAAATGCAATTATATTTAGTCTGTCAGTCAGATAATAGAAAAATATTAGATACGTATTTTTTTTTTTACTTCAATTTAACAAGAAATAGCTTAAATAACAGGCATCAAAGTTGAAGAGTGGGGGCTCGCTACGTCACAGTTGAGTAGAAAACGTACTCTAACGTGACGTCATGCGAATTTTCAACTCAATGTAACGCTGTAATTTTATGATTACGAAAAAAATAAAAAAATACGTGTTTAATATTTTTAACACTCTACCTGACGGACAAATAAACAAAAATTAGTCATCATCCCTATTATCACAAAATAACTTAAAGTCCCTAAAGAGTGATTAATATTTTTTTTTTATAATAGTATAGTCGATTCTGTTTTATTCATAGTCAACCTAGTAAGCCTCTCGTCTCGTATCTTGTGGTCTTTGATGTGGCAAACTAACCTAACAGTTTCATTTTACATTAACGACATTGATCATAGGAAATACACTGCTCACTGTTATGAAAATAATAACCGGATTCCGTCTCAGTCACGTGAAATGGTTGATTTTAATGTTATTTAAATATAACATAAAAATTAACCGAAATATAATTATATATCAAATGCAAATACTAGTTTTAAACTATTGGAAGTAACTCTTTGAAGGATAAAACATTTTGTCCATTTACTTCAGTTTACCGTTGATTATTTATTGAAAAAAGGTTTTTTGGAAACCCTCTAATAAAATACACTTCTCTTCTCTTCCAGGGTGTAATCGCTAGAGATTTGGACCACACAGATGCTACAGCGAGCATCACCGCTGGCGGCGTAGGGTTCTCTTATGCAAACTTCAGATTTAAGAGCGACAGGGGTTCCGGCCTTAACTACCAGTTAGAAATATATACGTAATCCTGTATACCAACCAAAACCAGTTACAAAATTATGCATAAAAAGTTCTATCGAATTTAAATTCATCTTTCAATGTTTTATTCATGTCGACACGCAGTTAGGTGTTGTAAATTGATAAAATACAATTACCTCCATTTTGTAATATTTCTTGTATGTATATTAATATTATATAGAAATAGATAAAACTCTTTTAAGATTCGTTTCATTTAATAATCATAAAAGATAAACAAATATAATTGAAGTAAAATAGTATTTTGTGACACGAGTTACTTTAGTAATTTGACTACCTCACTTGAGTCATATTCGAGTTGTCGAAAATAAGACTCGAATAAAGACAGGGCTCGAGTGGAATCAATAATATAGTTTAAATTTTAATGAGGAAGTATTTAAAAAAAAAAGAAAGCACTAAAATAGCAATTCCACTAGATGAAAACTCTAGCAAAAGTTAATTTTTGCAGGAAACAAATGGACCAAAGTCAGTCATTTAAAAAAAAAACTGAAATTAGAAAAGTTTGAAACTTAGATTTCAATGGAAATACGAAAAAGTACAAATAGAATATGAGTTGTTTATTAAGTTTAAAAACGTATTTACTTTTAAACATGAAAGAAAACCGGAAAGGTTGTCATGGAGAAATCAAGAATGTACCAGCGACATCTAGTTTGATTTCGGGAACCCTTTTTTTTAAACTTCTTCTTTAAAAGAAAATGTGCATGCTATGCTATTATTCTAAACAAGACCTACGTCTACGGAATTCAGATTAAAACTCTGAATAACTTTTCGGTAACCAAAGCACAGAAGAGCTTGATAGCGCAGTTAGCAAACTCGGTTTGCGATACGGTTGTTAAGCAATACTCGTTATGGCCGGTCATAGGATGGGTGACCAAAAATTTACTATCTCGAGCTCTTCCGTTCTTCAGAAGTGACATCAAGCCTGTCAGTTGGTCCCGACTGCGTCTGCAATCGTTAATCCGCACTAGGCTGTTGTGGTGGGTCATTTAACTCTCAAATCAGAAGAATAATATAAATAAAAATCTTAATGACTGTTTTTGTCATTGTCTTGAAAATCGATTCATAATAATTTAAAAATCAACGAATCAATAGATACGCAGTCAAATATTAGAAGCATTAAGTTTATATAATTATACGACAAATGTAAATTGATTATAGAAATCTATTCCAAACCTTAACGGATCAAAATATGGGATGGGGTATTAAAAGGATCTCATGTGATCCTCACGTGTAGGTAGGTATAGCACGGGAGTATTTACCCAGATTAGAAAAGGTTGGGTTGCGATTCTCTCACGAGATGATTTGAATTTTTTCAATGTAATAAATTAATAACATACCATACAGTTCCCAATTAATAAAAACTCTTGTGATAAAATTCTGAACCACCGACGAACCGCAACATTATCGAACCTATCGCCTAGCTATATTAATTTCGATTTGGTTGGCATCGGATTCAATCAAAATATTCTAAACGTTCGATATTGTGTTGAATATTGAACTAGAAGTGCATTTGATTCAAACCGATGTATTATTAAAATTACACACTGTATTCGGGATTGAATGTTAGTGCATTTTGATCGAATTGTTAACCTAATCAAAACTAGTAAATATCGACTCTCATTCGTTACTATCAAATTGGAGCAATATTTAAATCAGTACTTATTTTATGTAATGCGTGTAATTTATGTAATGTAATGCATACAGAATCAAAGTGTACAATGCTGACTGACTAAATGCTATTAGACATTCTCTACCATTCAACCGTAGAATTATGAAATTGTCATGTCAATGTGCGCTTTCAAGTAACTTCAGATTCGATTCTTTGTTCTTCCCAAATCAAGTACCTAAAGCAACTTGTATTATGGCTAAACTACCACAACATCCGAATCCGAGACGATATAGAAAAAATCATTTTCTACATTTTAACCGAGGGACCGAGATTGCGTCACCTTAATACCGCCGCCAGCCACTCGACTACGGAGCCTTTGACGCCTCTAATTGTGACAAATAATGATAATAATTTTAAAACCTATTTAAGTAAAATACATACATTTAGTTAAAAAGGTAATTTATTAAATATATTAGAGAGTTCTTTGAAATAAGACGAAAATTTTACCGTATTTATGGGATCATTTGTAACATTTCCTGTTTCTATATAGCATAAGGAAAATAGGAACATATTCAGGTCGCGATTGATGAACTCATCGCACCTTACAAAGGAAGGAAGCGCTCGTTGAATAATCTCACAACGAGGCCAAGCGAACAATGTCACGTTGTATAACATGCACTAAACAAATATTAGTATTGTAATAAAATACCGAGGCGTAATATCAAATATTTTGTATAATTCTGATTCGATTTCGATAATATCTAATTTTATCGGAATCAAATCAATAGTTTTAATTTTATTAAAAACAAAATACGCTTTTCACCAAATATCACCCAAAAATTTTGTTTATATAGAAAGACGTGGCAATTTCCAGCTTAAAACAAAAGATTTTATGTTCAAGGAGTAGAAGATTTTTAAACATTTTTCTTAAGAATATTTTTCAGTATGGCATTATGAATGCGAAATTAATTATATGTAATAATTAGAACAAATATTCATTTTTATCGAAAATTGAAATATTTATAAAAACATATCTTTTTCGGCTCTTTGGGTGGATTGTCTGAATATTGATGAGAATACGCTCGTAGTAGCGAAAAAGTACAAAGTGTTTGAAAAATTCGTCAATCCTGTTAAGATCTGGGTACCTCCGTAGTAAGAACAGTCGCCCGGATTGCGAAAGGTGGATTTTTTAAATATCTTTAAACTGTAATAAAAATCGGAGTTACCGATTTTTGATCCAAAACGCACCCAAATATTCCATAGTGCTCCGGTGAAAGTTCGCATACCTATTTATCAATTTTCTCTTTGAAAATCGAACATAATTACGAAAGGAAATTATATACGGATGACGTTAAGTGTAATTTATATCTAATTAAATACATGTTTATGTTAAGAATATTATTTACTTCACTTATTTTATTCGTTTTAATAATAGTTCATTTGGACTATTTTTTCTTAACAATAAATTTATACTAGTAGCGTACTAGCTTTCGCCAGCGACTTCGTCTGTGTGGTCCCTAGGGAAATGTTTAGTGGGATAAAAAGTATCAATTACCTATGTCAGCTAATACCCATCTGTACAACAGGATTTGTTTATTAAGTATGAACATAAAACTAATCAAAGATACTGAAAAGTTCTTTTGAAATATACTAAATAAAACTACAAAAAGAACAAAATCTAAGGCGCGTTATTGCAAAGATTCAGCAATTTCCTACTGGAATTTTCGGGTGTAGTAAAATAAACAGAAAAGGGGAAGAACGCAGCGGTTAGTACATAAAAAGGTGTCCCGATTCGTACATTCTTCGGTGCGTATGTACATTGTTTTGTAAAATAGGATCGAGATTGTCATCTACTAATTCTAAAGAATAATACTCGAAGTATGTTCTCACATAAAGGAAACAAATTGTGATCTACAGCAAGATAATTATAATCGAGAAATATATCACTGTTCATTTATGAGTCAAGAGGAGGAAGAGCAACCATATAAAGGACATCCAAATCAGTTAACTTTTGGCAAAGTTTCACTAACTATTATATTGTAAATAGATTGGAAGGAAACCAAAAAGAGAGAAACTCTTAAAGATCACTTGTGAAAAAAGGAAAACTACCTTCATCAATTATCTGGAGAGATTTTAACTGAAAATAATTTAGATTTTCATTTCATAAGCATAGTGTATGCTGATATTTTCTATGATGGTGAATGGTTTATGAACATATTGTGTTGCTTGAAGAGATTGTCATTGTTTCGTCATAAAAGCTTTGTTATGAGAATTGTATATTTGCATGCTTTGATTTGATAATATTTGCTTCTGCTTTTCGTGTGATCAATCACAGAGACGATCAAATTGGTATTTGGTGACAAAGTCCCTCTCATAGCACTGATGCGTGATTCGATTTAAATCGTGGACATAATGATTTCAATGACGGTGAACGTGAAGGTCGAATAGTGACTGTGTTTACCGTAACTAATATTTATAATGCTTGTCAATTAATTGACATTTACAAAAAATGTATGTCGGCAAATCCACACTTAATTTAGAAATATCTTTATTAAGATTCCAAATCATTCAAATGTTCACGTAAATCATGATTTGATTAAAAAAAACTCTTTGTTACTAGTGTATATTAAGCGGACAAATTGTTATTCAACTTTTTTTTTGCATTTATAAGTTTAAATCGCCAAGTAAAAAGCATCGCGTTGAAAGTAATTACAGACTATGAGTCTGTTGTACTCATGAGCTAATTATAAAATGTCAGCCGCAGAACTGGTGCAGTTTATTTAATATACTTAAGGAAGCTCCATGTTACTTTTTGCACGTCTAAAATTAAAAAACAGAGATAAAGTATAAAATAATTTGTGAAATTGATAAAGAAATTGCGATAAAGGTGTGTTTCAAACGATTTTTTTCATTTATAACCTTCGGTTAAGGTACATTGAATACTTTCGATGGCAAACAACATTTGAGTTCATTAAAAACGAGTAGGCGCCAACTTTGAGCGGGCACTAATTTTCACCGTGTTCGCTTTTGGTTGCTGCGATCGGAGTTTAATTTCCTGACCTGGAAATAACAGGTCGCAAACAGGAAGCGAATTTCATAAAATAGTATTATATTTTTGTCCTTTCTTGCTACGATAAATAGAATCCGTACTTGTGTTCTAATTCAAATGGAAAATGTTTTATAGTATAATTAATTATGATGAACAAACGGATGTTCTTGCATATTAGAAATACAATAATAATGATATGTCAACACCACAGATATCTCCATAAAATCATCAAACTAAGCAACACATCAATGTGTAACAAATTGCGGTCTTATCGCTGAAAGCGATTTCTAACAAACAATCTTTGGATGGAGAGGAATGTTAATTGTAACGAAACGGGGTTGTAAATTTAGAGTAGGTAATTCCAAACAAATAATTGAAACATAGTAATAACAGACACCAGAAGTTAATACAATATACTTACTTAAATACATTTAACATATAAATTTAATACATTAATTCATAAAATTTTAATGAAACGAAGAAAGCCAGTTACAATACAATACAATACAAGTTAAAATACATTAAAGGCAAATAATGTATTTT